ACATGTGCAATCATATTACATTAAAATCTAACACCCCTCGTCAAGCCTAATATATTTCCCTCCCTCCCATCCTCCCCCCAACCCCTCCAACCTTCCCTCCACTGACTTCCCAGAACCCATACACGGTATAAATCTTTAACAAAAACAGTCTAAAATATATTGGAAAAAAGAATAGAAAGTTGATAACATCTTTAAATTGAACTTAGCTCCTCCTTGCTAGGCTAACCTTAAACAATTTATATCATTCCTGATCTTAATCATAAGCTATCTGGAATTTCTTAGTCCCGTATTTATTTTGTATTAAGGCAACCTTGAAGTGCAGGTTCTCCTTGACTTACAACGGTCCATTCAGTGATTGTTCAAAGTTACAACAGCACTGAAAAAGTGACCATTTTTCACACTTGTGACCTTTGCAGAATCCCCATGGATCAAAATTCAGCCTTAACAACCGTGTTGCTATCTTAACAGCTGCAGTGATTCACTTAACAACTGTGGTAAGAAAGGTCATAAAATTCTTCACTTAAGAGATGTGTGTCTTAGGGTCAAGGACTGCTGGGGGTCAGTTCTCAGTCCCCTTTATCCAAACTGTTTAAATGTTTCCATCTTTCCGGCATGCTCCCAACTCCTCCAAAACCTTTTTTCCCCACACCTGGAAACAGCTGCAGTTTACCAGCAGATGCACACAGCGCACACCGCAGCTCTTAGCTCATTTCGCTGTGGCACGAGTGTTCCCGAGTCCCCAGGGAAAGGAGGGCTGGTCCTTGGCCCAAGAGACGGGGAAAGAGTCAGGCCAGGAGGCTCAAGGGCCCCAGGGCTGTAATTACCCTCAATCTGCGTGGTTTTTCTGTCTGTGCAGATAAGCTGGGACAAAGTGGGGGGAAAGGCTGTGATTAACATCCCCGCTTCCTCCATCCTTTCCCCCTCTAAGCATCCTGTCTGGGGCAGCCGCACTGCTGAACTCGAGCCCTGGGAAGGCTTCCAGATGCGGGGAGAGGAAACTCTTCGCATCAAATTCCCCGAGTGCCACATGTGCCTGTTTTCCTCCGCTTGGGATCTGGGCAGCGCCTGAGATACCAAGAATAATGACAGGCTGGGCTTTGACAGCTGGAAGTTACTCATTCCCCAAATACAGGGCTGCTCTGGAGGGCCTCCCATTCACCCCAGGGCTCTGGCCGGGTTGAAACATGCAAAACACCCAGCCCGAGATGCCAAACTATGAATATCCTGGGCCTGTTTTCTCCTAGCCTGGCAAGTGGAGCCAAGGCGGCCTAACGCCATGCCCGGGCTGCTCCTCCGTCCACCCAACACTTCTCTCTGGACAGACGTGGCACTGAGACCAGCCTCTCTTTCCCCCCTCTCCCAGCTTGGAAGGAGGATTCTCAAAACTCAAAAACAACAATTTGGTGCCAGTTCAGCTGCCCTAATGAAGGGGCCGCCTTCGTAGCAGCCCGGGAACCAAAAGTAAAGCGTTCTGAATTAATTGGAAGCAAAAGGTAGCGATTTAAAGAAAGCGTAACCCGGTAGTCAAGCTAGCACAGGGGAGGCTCCAACACGTAACGGAAGCCGCCGGAAAGAACCCTAAACGGCTTGTCCGCTACTGAAGGCTCAACTGGGAAGGCTTCACCCCAGGGGCGCCCCGAGGGCAGAATATAGAATAAGGGAGCTGGAAGGGATCTTGGTGGTCCTCTGGTCCAGTGGTCTCCAACCTTGGCAACTTTTAAGACTTGTGGACTTCAACTCCCAGAGTTCCTCAGCCAGCTTTGGGAGTTGAAGTCCACAAGGTTAAGGGTCACCTACATCAGTGGTCTTCAACCTTGGCCACTTTTAAGACTTGTGGACTTCAACTCCCAGAGTTCCTCAGCCAGCTTTGGGAGTTGAAGTCCACAAGGTTGAGGGTCACCTACATCAGTGGTCTCCAACCTTGGCCACTTTTAAGACTTGTGGACTTTAACTCCCAGAGTTCCTCAGCCAGCTTGCTGAGGGACTCTGGGAGTTGAAGTCCACAAGTCTTAAAAGTGGCCAAGGTTGGAGACCACTGCTCTAATCCAACCCCCTACTCAGGCAGGA